AATCGAATTCACACTAAAAATTAGATATTTTGAATCTTGTACTTGTAAACATATAAATTTTATTAAATCTAACTATTTTGGACTATATTAAATTTAAAATAAATTCCAAACAAATATTATGGCTAATACACTTGGATTTAGAAAGTAGTCCAAATATATTGGTCTAGTCCATTTAATTAGGTTCTAATGATAAACCCAATTTATTAGGCCCAAATAACTATTGGCCCATCTTAAAGCCCAGGCTCATGCCACGTGTCAACTGATGTGGCAATCCAAGCCAAATAAATGAGCCAATGAAATCATTCCATTGGTCAAGAAAGGGTGGCATACCAAGTCAAATCAACAACCAATAGAGTTGTGACAAGTGTCTAGTTGGTATTGGTCAGTTCAAACAGACTAATTAAAACGTAAAGCCACACTGCTCCCTACAATTATAAATAGAGGTTTTCATAAAGGTAGAAGACACCAGAAGTGAGAACAAGAATCAAGCATAGAGCTTGTGGATCAAAGGCTGCAGATTTCTCCCCAAAACTACAAGTTCAAGCACTCAAGCTACAAGTTCAAGTTCAAGATCAAGACGAAGGCAAACCAGTTACCAAGGTGTTCAAGATCAAATTACTTGTTCGTGACAGATAATTAAATCAAGTTCAAGACGGAGATTCAAGACCATGCTTTACAAGCCCTTGAATCAAAATCAAAATCAAGCTCATCAAGATAGTTTATATTATATTCTCGAAGAATTAGAGGAATATTATGGAGATTGTAACACTCATCATTTATTAAAACCAAATACTACATTTGTTAAGCAATTTTCTTATCTTGATTATTTATTTTTCTCTATGCGAAACTTTTTTGTTACAAATTTTTGGCACACCCGGTGGGACGACCTCTACCCCGCATCTCTTCAATTACCAAATTTTAAGAACACACTGAAATGGCTCCTAAGAAGACCAATTTCAAATTCGCTACTACTAAGGCTACAAATTCCAAGTTTTCCTCTGATGTGAAAAACTTGCTAGACGCTACTATGGAAAGCATATGACCTATCACTAGGAACAAAGCAAACTTTCTCGGACAACATGCTTTTCAAATTCCGTCTGGGCCGGTTTCTATATTTGATTTTCGATCCTCAAAGGGGGCAAGGTCCTTTTCAACTGAGTTGGAAGAAGGAGCGAACATTGCTGAAATTATTGAAAAGACATTGGCTCTACTTAGCCCCACTAGATCTAAGAATCTCATCATACAAGATAGTGATGATGTCTTGATCACTGGATCTACTCCAATCACTCCACATGAGTTGTGCCACTCAAAGTATGGTGTAAAAGAAAATCCATGCTTTACTCCACCATCCACGACAATTAACCAACCAATGGTGACTAACAATTCAGCTGTTGAAGAAAAACTCGCAAATTTAACAAAGGCAATTGAGGAGTTAACGAAGCATATGCAAGATCAAGATAATAAAATTGTCAAGCTGACAAATAGCATTGAAAGCATGATGGAGGGAGATTCAAGTCATGCACCTGGGAAGCTCCCTATGATGCAAGATAAAGGAGACTCATCCGCAAGGCAAATAATGACACCTAAGGAACTTCAAATTTCATCTGACAGGGCAATTCCCATTGATTAGTTGAAAGACTTCACTATGGGAACCACTAAAGACAAGTACGATATTGCTGCCAAGTATTCTCTCACATATGCGAAGACATACACTTCATGAATTGATAGTTTGAAGATGCATACGGGTTACTAACCTCCAAAATTTCAACAATTCGATAGTAAAGGAAATTCAAGGCAACACATTACACACTTCGTCGAAACTTGTAATAATACTGGAACCTATGGTTAGTTCCCGGTGAGAGAGAGAGAGAGAGAGGATCATGAGGTTTATTAATGGCCTCAACTATGGCCTACGCTTCAGTTTGTCTCGAGAGGCTGAGACGGATGTTAGATTTGACAAGGTGGTCGAGATTGCTAGGCGCTTGGAGTCGGTTCGCAGGCTTAAGCACGAGGAGCGGGAGGGCAAGTGACAGCTTCTATGAGTCCACCAAACTATAGAGCACATGATCCTTTATAAGTTTCTACTGAGAATACTTTACTAAGCAGTAAGTAAAAGAGACAAGGGATTTTTACGTGGAAAAATCCCACACAAGGGGACAAAAAACCACGACCTATACTTGTAGGCTTTCAACTTCACTAACTTGTAATGTAACTATTACAAGCCACTTTGTAATAACTCTATTACAAAGACTTTAACTTGACTAACTTGTGGTACTCGTACCACAAGCCACTTTGTGACTCTCTAGTTACAAAGACTTTAAACTTATGACTAAACCTAGTCACAACATAAACTCAGAAAGTTTACGGATTTTGGTTTCCTAAAATATAGCTTCTAAGAAAGCAGGATAGGAGTTACAATGAAGAACAAATAACAAGATTACAACTCAATTACGGATACACATAGACTCGTTGTGAAACTGGTCCTTTAGTGGAGTTGTCTTCTTGTTCTTGACACACCAGTGACTTCAATGCCGGATGAACACTTTAATGCTTGAAAGAATATCACTGAATGCACAAGGCAATATGTTGTGCCTTGCACCGGGTTGTTATACTCCAAAAGATATCACAATGGTGATGTCAATTCTTATACACGCTTCTTCCCAAGGAGAAGTGATTGCTGCACTGTCTGCTGCACTATCGCGTGTACAGTTGCGGACAGTCACTTTGTGCAGTTGCGTTCCAGCTGTATAGTTGACTTGTACTTATGTCAGAGAAACCCAAGGGACCAGGTCCCTGTTGTGTTCCTCTTTGTAACAGTTGCTGACAGTCACCTTCTGCTGTTATGTTCCAGCTGTATAGTTGACGGAACCCTAAGGGACCAGGTCCCTGTTGTGTTCTTCCTTGTGGTTGTTCACTCATTTGCTGGAAATCAAGCTTAACATGTTCATTTGAAATGTAAGCAAGATGGGTCAGGTTCTCTATCTGGTTCTTGTCAATAAGTTTGTTAGATCATCAAAACATAAGAAGCATAAGGCAAAAACGTTGAAAACCCATCAGCAAGAGGTCCCGTGTTTCAAGTGGTTTCAGTGGTACTTTATCTGGAGCTCAGTCACATCACAACAGAGGTCGTCCTTATAGGCCCGCTCAGATGGCTCGTCCGGTTCATCGTGGTGCATCAGCTAGCCATGGTTCATAGAGTACTCGTCCGGTTCAGTCATCTTTCAGTGCACTCCCAGCTCAAAGTTTGTACACCAGTGACTTTAATGCCGGATGAACACTTTAATGCTTGACAGAATATCACTGAATGCACAAGGCAATATGTTGTGCCTTGCACCAGGTTGTTATACTCCAAAAGATATCACAATGGTGATGTCAATTCTTGATACACGCTTCTTCCCAATGAGAAGTGACTGCTGCACTGTCTACTGCACTGTCGCGTGTACAGTTGCGGACAGTCACTTTGTGCAGTTGCGTTCCAACTGTATAGTTGACTTGTACTTCTGTTAGAGAAACTCAAGGGACAAGGTCCCTGTTGTGTTCCTCTTTGTAATAGTTGCGGACAGTCACCTTCTGCTGTTATGTTCCAGCTGTACAGTTGACGGAACCCTAAGGGACCAGGTCCCTGTTGTGTTCTTCCTTGTGGTTGTTCACTCATTTGCTGGAAATCAGGCTGAACATGTTCATTTGAAATGTATGCAAGATGGGTCAGGTTCTCTATCTGGTTCTTGTCAATAAGTTTGTTAGATCATTAAAACATAAGAAGCATAAGGCAAAGACGTTGAAAACCCATCAACAAGAGGTCCCGTGTTTCAGGTGGTTTCAGTGGTACTTCATCTGGAGATCAGTCACATCACAATAGAGGTCGTCCTTATAAGCCTGCTCAGATGGCTCGTTCGGTTCATCGTGGTGCATCAGCTAGCCATGGTTCATAGACTACTCGTCCGGTTCAGTCATCTTTCAGTGCACTCCCAGCTCAAAGTTTTTACCGTGCTCCATCAGTTTAGGGTTCATGAGTACCGGGTTCTTCTAGTGGTTAGTCTATATCTCGAGGTTAGGTTTAGGCTTCGCAGTCATCCCTAGATCGAGGCTGCTTCGAGGATGGGGAGTTGGGGCATGTGAGGAGGTATTACCCTTGTTTTGTCGGAGGTCCCATGCAGCAGAGAGGTCATGCTACTACTTCTGCCCCAATTACTACACAACCCACTCAGCCATCTTGGGGTGGGACTCAGGCAGTTCGAGGTTGCCCTAGAGGGGGAGGTCGATCAGGTGGTGGTCAGGCTCGATGCTATGCTTTTCCCGCCAGGCTAGAGGCAGTTACTTCTGATGTTATGATTACGTATATTGTTTCAGTATGCCACACGAATGCTTCAATATTATTTGATCATGGTTCCACTTATTCATATACGTCATCATACTTTGCTCGTTATTTGGATATGCCCCGTAATTCTTTAGCTACGCATATTCATGTATCTGCACCGGTAGGTGATTCTATTATTGTGGACCGTGTGTAACGGTTCGTGTTGGTGACTATTGGGGGTTGTGAGACGAGAGTTGATCTTTTACTACTCAGCATGGTTGATTTGACATGATATAAGGCATGGTTAGTTGTCGTCGTGTTAACCTATTCTGGATTGTCACCCTAAGACCGTGACGTTGGCGATGCCGGGGTTGCCTAGGGTTGATTTGGGATGAATTACAATGGAATATAACCACTCTATTAATAAGGGAAAAGTGACTTAGCCACAAAGTTAACAAACTCTAAAATCTCTCTAAATTCACCATAAATAAAATACTATTTATAACAAAAATAGAATTTTCATACTTTATCTTACCCAATTGTACAATTAGTGTATGTCACCTACGATTATATTCTCTTCTTTTTTTTGTTCTCGTCACCTACTGTTATATTCAATTAAACACTGAAAAATCATTCAGAAATGAGAGTTTTTTTTTTATTTTTTTTATTTTTATTTTTTAAAAGGAGTATTTTTTGTGAAAAACATCTTCCCCTGTGAGCAGTCCTAACAAACAGAGGCTCCGCGCCTTTAGCTGTTGTTACCTTATCATCTTTCTCACCTTTCCATAATGGCACTAACCCACACCCTTCATCCCAAATCCACTATTTCTGTAGTCCTCAAACCCTTTCAGTACGGCCCTTCTTCAAGTTCTTTGCCTCTATACTCAAGAAAGTTTCAGAATGGTGAAATTTTCTTGGGCACCACTTTTTCAAGAATTCAGACTTATCACAATCCACTACCAGCTTTGACCAGAAGACTATTCTTGCCCTCAGTTTCTGGGCTCTGGGATGCATTAACAAGTGGTAACTCAGCTCGCGATGCTGTAATGGCAATTCGAAAGGGAATGCAACTTTTCAGACAGGTAATTATTCTTGATTTCTCTTTCAGCTTACTGATTTTCTTATTACTGGTTCAATTGATTTTAGAGATCAATAGTTTTTGGTTCTATAATGAAGGGCGATGTGTTAGGGTCTTTGGTGGAGTTTGACAAGGCAATTGAACTTGATCCTCGCCAGAAAGCATGTGAGCTTCTTAATTAATTGATATAAATTAAAGTGCATTATTTGTTGTCCTATTGTTAAGCAAATGAAACTTACAGAACTACAGTTAAAAGAAATGCACTCCAAATTTATTTGTGTTTTTGCTGCAAGCTATAATAACGATGGACATTAACTTTTATTGATTGTGATCGTTTATTGGGTAATCAGATCTTTGGCAAAGAGGGTTGTCTCTATATTATCTTGATAGGTAATAACTTTTCCACTTATCTTTTGTATTTAATTTTTGGGCCTTTATTCAGAAACTGGTTGTCTCTGGTTAGGTATGAGGAGGGTGCGGAACAATTCCGTTTAGATGTTGCCCAGAACCCAAATGACACAGAGGAGTCAATATGGTGCTTCCTCTGTGAAGCTCAACTGTATGGAGTTGGTGAAGCGAGAAAAAGATATCTTGAGGTAAATGACATCGTCTGCATAGCTAGACTATCAAAATTCTGTTCTGCATTTATGCCTATTAATAGATGATTGATGTTTTTTGAGTCCATATCTGGGTATTGATTGACTCACTGATACCCAAGTATGTCTATCAAATGAAACTTCGTCATGTTCTAAGAGTTAGTTTGTACTAATACTTCAAATTGAGAATTTTTTACTCTATTGAGATTCCATTATGTGTAGAATGATTTGATCAAGCCTCTTATTGTAGCCAATTTCAAGATTCTATTTGTATATTTACTTACAACAACTCAAATTTGAACCTTCCAACAGCTTATCTGATGTGTGCAGGTAGGTAGAGATTCACGACCAGTCATGCGAGAAGCTTATAACATGTTTAAAGATGGTGGTGACCCGGAAAAGGTATGGAATTTGGTTTTGTTGTCAGACGAAAGAAATTCATTTAATATCACTACTTAATTGCAGTAGCTTTTGATGCTAGTTTCAAGTGAGTTTGTTCTAGTGCTTGTTCAATTCTTACCCAGGTCATAAACTAATACTAGCCGAAGTAGGCAATATTATTCAATCTCATTCACTTTCACTCTCTTGTTCTTGTACTTGAGATTGGCTCAACTCCTTCAGGTGCATGTTCATATAACTTACAACTGAGAGCCTGGTGATTCTTACCAAATTATGAAAGTGTTTCTTAACGAGATTTATTTAAAAACATTCGTGTTTATTTCAATCCAACTTTTCTTATAATATATCCTAAACTGAGAGCGTAGTGATTGTTACTAAATTATGACAGCCCCTTTTTTAACTCTATTTTAAATTATTTATAAGTTGTACCAATGATCTATACTATATGGATTTCCTCTAATTTGGAGCTTTGGTTGGTGTGAATATTTTCACTAACTACAAATTATTCCTTAATTCTGAAGCTTGTTGCTGCATTTTCAAGTGGACAGCCAAATGAATATTTCTATGCTTCTCTGTACGCTGGGTTGTACTACGAATCCCAGGTTTTTACTTATCCCTAGACCCTACGTTCATTATGGATGATTCTTCTGCCAGATTGCTCTTGGAACTGAAAGTAATTTAGCTTATCATGACCCCTGCTTACTTTCACAATGCACACAGTACTCTGAGAATCAACCTGTATATCCGATACTTTTTTTTTTGAATTGTGTATGCCATGATTTTATTCTCAACACTGAGGTAGAGTAGCGACTATTTTGATTGATGTAAACTGACAGGGTTGCTTTTGATAGTCTTTTATGCAAGTAACTGAAATACCGTCTTCCACTGTGGCCTCACATACGTATGGTCATGTGATTCTTTCAAGCTGAATCAATAGTCACATGCTGCTTAATTTTCTTATGATGGCAATTATGAAGTCAAAGCAGAAAGAATATTAGCACAGTGAATAACTTTATTCCAAATAAGATGTTCTCCTTGTCAATGGAACTAAATTGAGGATAAATATTAGTTTCTTCCTACAGTAAAGGAGAATATTTGAAACATCCACAATGGTTAAATTTGCATAAGAATGGCCTTTGAGAGATTACTATCAGATTTTCTACTTAAACTTTGAATACTGGAACTCCAACGGCTTACATGATGAGCTATTTTGTTGTTTTTTAATTTGCAGAAAGAGCCAGATGCAGCTAAAGTTCATTTAATTGCTGCTTGTCAATCGGCTTATGGATCAAGGTTTGATGAAGGGTTTTTTTTAGCTAGATATATGCAAATTCAGTGTACTTGTTGTTTGTTTTTAGAAATATATGAAAGCATGACAAAGAGCGTCTTATTAATATCGTTATCAGGTCTGATGATTATATGGCTGCTCTTGCCAAGGTTCATTGCAAATGTAGAAACTGGAACCTCAACTAAGAGAACACTCAAGTGCAGTATGGTAAATTCGTTGTTCCAAAATTTCTCACCGGAGTATGTTTCTTGATTTACATATGCTTCAGCTTGACCAAATTTACACTTCCATTGTTAGTTCTATAACATCACGTGTCACGCAATTAAATGGGGAATCATCTTGAAACATATCAATGACATTCCAAGTTAGGATGTGGACTAGTAACTTGTGTACAAATAGCTAAAGGAAAGGTATACAAATATATCTTTTTTATGCAGCTGCAAGAATTCTTGATCTGCCTATGTCTGTTGATACTGTTATTTGTAGACACTCTGGTTATTCTTATTAGAGAATTAGATTGTACTATGTTTGGGTAGCATTGAGAATTAGATTGTACTATGTGTAGACAGCAGTAGCTTAAATTACAGCTAGCTTCAAATGTGTGTGAACGGACACGAGACTGTTTATTACATTACGCCATTTTGCCTTGATATTGTGTATGGCTCAGTCGCGAGTATCATTTAGGAGTGCATGTTGAAGTATTGTATAATTTGTTGGACCTCAGAGTTTCTGATGTTCGTCAAGTGGTTATTCCTGCTGTAGCATTTTACACGGAAAGAAAAAGAAAGGAATAAGTATCTTTAGTGTTCCATGTTAGAATCGATTTGTCATCTAAAATATTTGATCCATACGCGCATTCAAAACATATAAGATTATACGATCTATTTCTATCTATATTTATTCTTCCCTTGTCTATGTCTTTATCCAAAGGTGTCAAAGTTCATCGTTTTTTTTTTAAATTCTTCCACTATCTATTTCTATCTATATTTATTCTTCCAATGTCTATGTCTATTCTATTTAATGCTAGAAGGATTTTTCCGTATCCATACTAATATCAATCTAGACCATCTCATGAATAAAATTTGACCAAAATCCACACACTTTGCAGTTTGTTTGCACTGTTAAAGAACAGATGGAAAGAAGAGAAAGGACTCCGGAACAAAAAAGCGAAGAACACATATGGCTACTCCTGTCCTTCATGCACACTGGTGAAGAAAGAAAAGAAAAAATTGGAGTGAAATTTTGTTTTACAAGAAAGAAATAGTAGAAGAGAAAGGGAAGTATAGCAACCATCTTTACATGACTGGACACAGCCACACAGGTATAACTGATGTAAAATTAAAACTCCTGATAATAAGAGGAAGTATATGAAATTATGAGCTGTTATGTAAAGTTTTTATTTGATTTGTTCCTGTTCAAATTTTGAGTTAAAAATGCATTACTTATCTATGGCTTTCTCCCGTTGCTACCTTTTCTCATTTGAGAAACTAATCGAAATATATTGTTGCTAATTGCTAATTGCTAATATTACTTTGTTACTGAAGTTTAAACTAATGGAAACAGTACAACAACAACAAACCCAGTAGTTTCCCACAAGTGGGGTCTAGGGAGGATAAGATATACGCAGCCTTACCCCGACTCCTGGAAGGTCAGAGAGGCTGTTTCTGATAGACCCTCGGCTAGAGAAAATAATGGAAACAGTGATAAGAATATTAGGCTTGGTCTTGATGCAATTTCGTATCTACTCTCTGTTAGTTGTTACCACTCCCTCTCCTTCCAAACATTGTTACAAACGTGCCCAAGTGCTATTCTAGTTAGGGGTTGTTCAAAACGAACTGTAACCGTTAACCGAGCAGCGAAAACGGCCTATGGCTTATTGGTATCGTATTATCGGGGTAATGGTCGGTGAAGGGATTGAAATTTTATAATTAACGGTTTAACGGTGCATTACTCAATTTCTATATCGGATAAACCGTTAACTCGTTAATAGTTTTTATATTTACACTCTTACCTCTATGTATATAAAGTAATATTTATTGGTTGATCCAAGGTATATGGAACCCGTCATGATCTGTCAGATGTAGACCTTTGATGTAGGACTGAATTTAAGTTAGTTGGGGCAGAGTAATACTGCTAGTCTGCTACTTCCATATATAGAAGTATATGATTTAAGCTAAAGGTGGTTCATAATATAGTTGCCCAAATACTACACCCATTCCAACTTTGAATGAACTTGATTTGCAAAGACAAAGCAAAATCAAGAAATTTTAGCCTTACTCAGTTAGTTCATCTTTCATGAGCGTCTTTATTGGGGTTCAATTTCTATTTTTGAATCTTATTCAGTTAGTTCAGTTTTCAATACAAAGGGCTTCATTTACTTTATTCAAAATCATTGCGAAGACAAAGCCGATGTGATACTTTACTCCAAATTTTCCCTTAATGGATAATCTGATAAATTGCCCGATAATCGCTAATCCGATATCAATCTGCCCGATATCGTATTGGTTGGCTAGAGGATTATCACATTTATAAAATCGATAAGTCAAACCGTTAAAGTAAATATCCGTCCAATCCGCCTGATAAACACCCCTAATATTTCCAATGCAAGAAAATAAAATGCTAAAGCTTTATATCCAACTTAGTTTAGTAAGCTGCTGACACACTCATATTAGGCTACGTTGAGTTTATTTGATTTGAATTGTCGTATTGTCGATGTTGCATAGCAAATAACTAAAGTAATGGAAATATAGTTGTTTGGCTCAAAAGTTAACGATATACTTTGTAAGCGATAAAACAATCAAAAATAGAAAAGGGGTAAATCGTAATCAAATATAATAAGCCTAGAGATGCAAAGATGATAATATTGTTGTAGATCTGATATTGCAAAGTGATATTGTTTACCAATAAGATATTTTCGTTAGAGGTAGAGATATAGAGAGAGAAAGCCAGAAAAATGAGAGAGTTGTATTAGATCAGATCCCCCCTTTTACAATGTGGAGGTCTCCTTTATATAATAGGAGACCTTCCTCGAAAGAATCAAAAAGTTACAAAAATAGGTAACGCCTCCCTATCGTGGACGCTGAGTTCTAAACGATGTCGCTTTTGTCCTCACGGCCGAGTCGTACCCGCTACGTTGGTCGGCGTACATTCATTGGGCGTACCCACTAGCGTAGAGATACTGAGGGTCAAATTTGACCCTATACAGTTAGTCCCTCCGCTCGTTGGAGACGCGTTCGGTGGGCGTCTTCGACGGGCGGAAATACGAACCTCGGCTTAGGAGAATTTGACCTCGACCAGGGGCGGCAATATGAATGAAGTGAAACATATGACGTTGTTGAGCCGCTGACGCGTGGCTTCCTTTTTGGAATGATGTCATCGCCTGTATGCATCATCATTATATTTGCCCCCGAGGCGGTTCAGAGGATGAAGTGACGTTTTGGTTTCCGGCACACGTTTTGAATCATGACTCTTCGATTCCTGTGCAACTTATCCTTATAAGTATGAGAGAGGTTTGATCTGATTCCACTTTCAAGCCTCTGAAAAGTATTTTCTGATACACTCCTTTGCCTTTCTTTCCTGTAACCGTTATTTCGTGAGGGACTCTCCCACTTCTGTTGAAACCACACTTCCTATCGTCAGTGCTTCGTTTCTCAAGTAGTATAATCATGACAAAACGCGGACAAAATAATAAAAAGGCCAAAGATAATGCCCCGTCTAGGGTTTCGCCATCTTCCGGTGGTGAAGGGGAAAAGGCGGAGAAGGCCCTTGTTCCTCTCAGCGTAGACAATGTCCTTCCGAAGGAGACGCACGTTCGCAGGGATTTTCCAACTAAAAACCCTGATCTTCCCTGGGAGCACAACGTCTTAGTACAATCCCATTTAGATGATCTGCGAGAGACGCACCATATTCCGGACCACGTGGAAATGGTCCCGGCCGAGACGGATTATGCCAATGTGCACCGGCCTGGATATTGCACCTTCTATGAGTACCCGTTCTTGATCGGTTACGACCTTCCGTTCTACCCTCTGGTGGAGGAGCTTTGCCCGTTTTTACAATGTGTGTCCGGCCCAGCTCACTCCTTATACTTTGAAGGTGTGCCGTATCATGACCACTTATGCGGCCAGGGCTGGGTGCAGCGTCTCGGTCCACCACCTCTTACAGTTGTTCATCGCTGGTTACCTGAGGGGTACCATGCTGCAGTTGAAAGGTCGTGGCGCAAAGGGCTTGGTCGTTAAAGCCGATGATAAGCCCAACCGCTGCTTTTGGCGTAAATATTTCTACATCAGGACGGAGCACCTAGTGTCGAATCCCGAGGGGTTCCCGGAAAGATGGAATCCAGAACGTAAGTATTTCTACTTGTAGATTTTAGTGCTGCTTGCGCCTTCGACCATACGGCCACAGTGACCTTTGTTTTTCTTTCCTCTTTTTTATTCGCAGCGAGGGTTTCTCCACCCCAGCTCGTTGATGACATTAAATCGTGGGTGGAAAGAATAATACCCTATGCGGAGGAGTGCCGTACCTCGGCTGCATTTCTTCGGCAGTACGGCCCGTCAGGTAATTCTTTGGCTACGGTTTGGGGATTCCCTACGTATTTGTTATGACTTATTCGCGTTGGCAGGTCGGAGCGCCCCTAAGAAGAAGAAAAAGAGCGTCGTCATCTTACCTGGGGCGGGTACTGATTCTGAAGATGGATACATTCCCTGCGGCTCGCCCAGTGATGGTGCCGCGGAGATTCCTCAACCGCTGCCCGTGACGGCGTCCGCGAGGGGAGCGACTCCTTCGACACCATCCCCTCGGGCTTTGGAGGAGACTTCTAAGAGCGAGGAGATGCCGGAAAGAAAAAGACGTCAGTTGATAACCGACAAGGGGATAGCCACGGCAGATGAGGGGGCGAGCGAGCCCCGTCGAGAGTCAAGGCCAGTTTTTATGGCGGATGCCATCCGTTTCGGGAGGTCGGCTCCTCATAGGGGGGCCGTTCTCGACGCCAGGTCAACACGCATTCCGGAGAGCGGCTCGTCGGCTGCCGTTGGGGAGGCGGACGATGATGCCGAGAGGGTGGGCCCTGAGGTCGCCCAAGGCCCAGGCAGATGCAGAAGCGTCAACGCGGGGTCCGGCCCGTGTAGGGATGACGGTAGGTAGATCCAACCGTCGAATTCTGATCCCGGAGGGGTATAACCTGTTGCAACACAGCGAGCAGGCCGCAGCGGATATGACCCTGCTATGTGCGGCCACTGAGCGTGAAACGTTACAAGGGGTTAGCGACGGGGAACTATCCCGGAGGGTTGCCGGTGCGGCCTTACAGGTATTTTTCGATTCTCTTCATGCATCGTAAAATAAATTTTGATGCATGCTGACTTGCCTTTCATCCTTTTCCTCTTTTCTAAACTCTCATTTTGGAGATAGAGAGGGGGCGGCGAGCGCAAAGGAAGGCAGCCACCTTTAACAAGGTGGTAAAGAAATATCGGCGGTGCCGAGTCAAGCATCAAGCGCTAGCGGACCTACTCAAGCAGGACCCGGAATTTCGGGTTTTTCGTGAGGGTCTGGAGCAGTCGGAGGCCCAACTGAAACGGAGGGTGGCCGAGTTAGAGCAGATCGATGAGCAGCTGATGGCCGCCCTGGCCCGGAATATTGAGCTGGAGACTCTTCTCCAGTCTAAAGAACAAGAGTTGGAGGTTGGCCGTGGGGTAGCGGCGGAAGCCGCTGATTTGCGGATCAAGGTTGCAGCCATGACCTCCGAACTCGATGCCAAGGCGGCTGAGATTGAAGTCCTCAAACGGGCTGCTGCGTCAAGGCCTGATGAGGATGCGCGTCGTGAGGCGCATGATATGTGGGTATACGCCGAGGCTAGATTGGTCGTCTTCGAGGAGTTCTTAGCTGCGGGTCGAGCCACCAAGGCGGAGGTTCAAGAGCAACGGCGCATAGTCCGTGTCGCTCGTGAAACCTGTGGGTATAGTTCTGATTCCCCAGACCGGGCGGGCTATAACTCTGAAGACGTCAACCGTCTAGAATCCGGCTCTTGGATCTCTGTGGCCTATCAGGCCGAGGACGGCGATGGACGAGATGGCGATCCGACAGGAGGCGGTAAACAGAATGGCGAAGCCCCTTAGGACTTGTATTCATTTTGTTTCGCTGTATTTGGAGACGTAAATAGGTCCTTTTGTACATGTATTTTTGGATGATAATGGAAGTTATACTTTTGCTGTTATTCTTTTCTTTCTGTACCTTATATTTTTGGCCTTTAATATTGTTGATGGCCTTAGCCATGTGCGTAACTTCGACTGTCGTCGGGTCGTTTTACCCACCGCAGTCGAACCTAGGTCGACCGTTAGTGGCAATGGCCTTAGCCATAATATAATTTATGGCCTTAGCCATGTAGGCGACTTCGACTGTCGTCGAGTCGTTTACTCACCGTAGTCGAATCTAGGTCGACCGTTGGCGGCGATGGCCTT